GAGATACCGACGATCGAATCTCGGGCAAGTAACATACCGATGACAAAGGGAACAACGTATGTTGTTATGCGGTTTGACCGATAAAGATCTTCGTAGAATATGTAGGAGCCAATATGAGCATCCAGGTTCCGCTATTGGTTATTGACCGAAGACGTGTCTCGGTCATGTCTACATAGTTCTCGAACCCGTAGGGTCCGCACACTTAAAGTTAGATGGTGGTTATATTACGAGTTTATGTTTTTTGATGTACCGAAGATAGTTTGGAGTCCCTGATGTGATCACGGACATGATAAGCAGTCTCGAAATGGTCGAGACATGAAGATTGATATATTGGACGACTATATTCGGACACCGGAATGGTTCCGGGGGTTATCGGATGTATATCGGAGTACCGGGGGGTTACCGGACCCCCTCGGGGGGTTAATGGGCCTCATGGGCCCAAAGTGGAGCAGAGGAGGGGAGGCCAGGGCAGGCCGCGCGCCCCCTCCTCCTCTAGTCCGAATAGGACATGGAGGGGGGGGGGGGCGCCCCCCTTTCCTTCCTCTCCTCTCTCCCCTTCCTTCCCCTCTCATACTTGGACAAGGAACGGAGGGAGTCCTACTCCTGGTGGGAGTAGGACTCCTCCCTGGCGCGCCCTCCCCTGGCCGGCCGCCCCTCCCCCCTTGCTCCTTTATATACGGGGGCAGGGGGGCACCTCTAGACACAACAATTGATCCTTGAGATCTATTAGCCATGTGCGGTGCCCCCCTCCACCATATTCCACCTCGATAATATTGTAGCGGTGCTTAGGCGAAGCCCTGCGTCGGTAGAACATCATCATCATCACTACGCCGTCGTGCTGACGGAACTCTCCCTCGAAGCTCAGCTAGATCGGAGTTCGAGGGACGTCATCGAGTTGAACGTGTGCTGAACTCGAAGGTGTCATGCGTTCGGTACTTGATCGGTCGGATCGTGAAGACGTACGACTACATCAACCGCGTTGTGCTAACGCTTCCGCTTATGGTCTACGAGGGTACGTGGACAACACTCTCCCCTCTCGTTGCTATGCATCACCATGATCTTGCGTGTGCATATGATTTTTTTTGAAATTACTACGTTCCTCCACACTCTCCGTGTCGTGCAAGCGTGAGGGATTTCCGTTGTAGGGTGTTGCAATACATTCATGATACGCTTATAGTGGGTTGCTTGAGTGACAGAAGCATAAACCCGAGTAAGGGGGTTGATGCGTATGGGATAAAGAGGACTTGATGCTTTAATGCTATGGTTGGGTTTTACCTTAATGATCTTTAGTAGTTGCGGATGCTTGCTAGAGTTCCAATCATAAGTGCATATGATCCAAGAAGAGAAAGTATGTTAGCTTATGCCTCTCCCTCAAATAAAATTGCAACAGTGATTACCGGTCTAGTTATCGATTGCCTAGCGACAAATAACTTTCTCGTGACAAAAAACTCTCTACTAAAACTAACTTAGTTGTGTCTTCATCTAAACATCCCCTAGTTTATATTTGCATGCTCTTTATTATCTTGCAAACCTATCATATAACACCTATAAAGTACTTCTAGTTTCATACTTGTTCTAGGTAAAGCGAACATTAAGCGTGCGTAGAGTTGTATCGGTGGTCAATAAAACTTGAGGGAATATTTGTTCTACCTTTAGCTCCTCGTTGGATTCAACACTCTTACTTATCGAAAGAGGCTACAATTGATCCCCTATACTTGTGGGTTATCACTCCACTTTATGGTTATCTCCTACCTTTGCTTTGTGCAAGCTATTATTGTGTTGTATCATTTGCTTGCTTGTGTTGGTGTTGTTGTTTGTGTCATATAGGTTGACAACCTATTTGTTGCTAAACCTAATCTGTTAAAAAAATTAAAAGTTGGTAGTTGCCTATTCACACCCCCTCTAGTCAACCATATCGATCCTTTCAACAATGAAGTGGCAGGAAGAGGAGGGTCCATGGGTGGGTCCAGCTTGTCAAGCGAATGTCGTAGACGACCCCCTCCTTTCCCTTTTTAGGAAGACGACCCTCCTCTGCCCCATTAGAGTAGTAGAAGAGTCTTTTGATCCACACAATTTAACTTAGATAAACATGAGAGCCCATTCAAATGCCTTGTGGCCAAACATGGACATATATACAATGTCGTGCGTGCTGACAATTTTGGCCCTACACATGATTAAAAGGGTTGGACTGGCCTTCGGCCCGCCACAGAACAAGGGCGACCCAAAAGCCAGGCTTTTTGGCCAGTCATGACACAACCCTTTTGATTGTGGGCCAACGCGGCGTGTCCGGCACGCGCAGGTGAGGGGGCGACACGAGGGCCATATATTTAGCCCCCTTTATTTTCCAGTTCATGATTAAAAAAAACAATTCACAAGGTCCAAAAGCAATGTGGGCTGGCCCGCGGTCGTACCAGACCAGGCCGACCTTTATAAGAGCATCTCCAACAGACCCCTTAAAAGCCAACCCTTAAAAACACATTCAAAGGGCCCTTTAAACGATTTTACGGTGCGAAACTGGGCCAAAAAGAACAGAAGCCGTACCACGAACTGTATGCGGAGCCATATAGCAAGCAATCGTCCCGCTCAGGCCACACTCCCCCTGGCCGCGCCGCACTTCGGCCATGCCCGCCCTCGCCCGTCGAGCCCCGGCCATGCACGCCCTGGCCCAGCCAGCCCCGCCTCCGCCGTGCTTCGCCCCGCCCCGGCCACGCTTGCTATTGCCGCGCTCCGCCCAGGGCATGTCCGCCCTGCCGCGCCTCCCCCGCCCCGGCCGTGCCTCTCTCGACCTTCTCCGGGCTGCCCCGCCTTGATTCAGGCCGCCGATGGCCTGCTCCACCCCGCTCGTGGCCGACCTCACCTTGGCGGTGAAGGTCGAGCCGACCACAATTTGGACCGGCAGCGACAAATTCCGGCGCGCGGCGACCTTTTATGATGTGCGACGACGAATTCCGACGAGTTTCAGGTTGATTCCGACCAGTTCCGCGGCGACGCATCTGCTCCGACGAGGTTTGACAATTTACGGGTTGAAACTGTATACTACCTTCCAACCTGTACATATAAGGTTCTCGCGGATGGATTCACGGTGCCCCTTAAAAATTTTAAGGGTCAATCGAACTTTAAGGGGTCTGCTAGGGATCGTTTTTTTTAACCGAAGCTGTAAATACCGGGTTTTTAGGCCAACTCCAGCGCACGACCCCAAGCAGACGTCCGTTTGGTCTGGATTCTATCCGTTTGGGTAGGGCAATGGGTTGTGTCCGGCCATTTTCTGGGATGCGCTGCACACGGCCGCATTTTGGCCGCATGCATTTTCTTTTCAAGTACATATATTTTATTTTCATCATTCATTTTCATACATGGAAGCACGTCACCAAATTTTGACTAAAATAACAAGACCAAAGAACACAACAACCATAAGAAGACATTTTAGAAGACAACCAACTTCCATAAATGCTCCTGTAAGTTGGATTAGTGCCTTCTCGATGCATTCATTGTTGATCTGCGGAGGCTCAACCTTGCATGCTTTTTTCTTCTTCGAGTCTAAAGAAGTAGATGTTGCTTTCTCACATCTAGTCGCATGGCTAGCCTCTATTCGAGCAACAAGTGCACTAGTCTCATCTCTAGCCTCTACTCTATCAATATATCGATGTACTCTTCTTCCCAATACCAAAAGTTGCATTCATTCTACACAATAAAATTTTAAGTTAGCACAACTAAAATCCGAGAGCGCAACCGAAGCTAAATAGCACATACCCATCGGTTGAGCACTTGATGAACACCCATCCGGGATGCTCCGACGTTGTAGACACGCGACGCAAGACCTTCTTTGGGCAGTGGTCGCACTTAATGAGTGGCAAGGGTGCGCAAACGAGCTTTTGGGCCAACAACGAGCCAGGTCGATGGCCGTTTGTGTATCTGCCGGCGAACCGCTGACGGTGTAGAGCCGAGCGGCTAGAGGAGGAGTCAGTACCTGCATGCGGCATTGTGGCCTTGCCAGGGCCTCCCGGCTCGATGCCCGGCCAGTCCATGGCACAACGCGGCCTCTCGCAGCCGGGCGAACTCAAGTCCGTCCGGATCCGCTCCAAATCCGACCGTCGGGAGCGCAAATCAGGTGGTCGTTGTTGGGTAGCTCGAGTCGTCGAGGGCTGCGACAAGGGTTGGGCCGAGCTGCACATCGGCAATGGCAGAGGCGGCGGCGGCGAGGGACGAGAGTGGCGGGGGGTGCGGCTGGAGTGCTCGGTGGAGAGAGAGGGGGGGGGTGGTAGAAAAAGGGAGGCCTGTGCCACTGACGGGCGGGCGCGGCCTGGCTGTCCGCGCGGTGTCCGTTTCACCTCAAAGATGGCCCAAACTTGGGCCAGGGGTAGATCAAAAACGGACAAAAGTCTGTTTACGCCAGCGCGTTGGGCCGTCTGATATGTACGTTTTGCCCTAAACGGACACACCCGGACAGGATGGGGTCTTACGCCGAAGTTGGCCTTACGGAGTTGGCCAGACATTCGGACCGGCATGGCACCCTTTTACTGCCGGGCCGTGCCTCTGTGGCCCGTCGGCCAGCCTCGCTCCGTCGCGCCGAGAGCGCGGCAAAAGACCGGCACCAGACCGGCCAGGGAGCGGGAAACGAAAACGGGAAACCACACCACGTTCCCCAGCACCCAGTCGGCCGCCGCCCTCGATTTTGGGCCTTTTTCCGCTTTCCCACCCTGCCCGTTCCCCATTTCCCCTATCCCGCCGCGTGCGACAGTTCGTCTCGCCCCCCCTCCGTTTCAAACCCCCAAAATTTCCCTCCTCTCCTCCCTTCCGCCGGGCAATTCGCCCGCCTTTTTGATCCCCCGCCAGGCCACCGCCTCGATTAGTCTCCCCATCTCCCCTCCAATCCCCTAAACAATCTTTCGCCTTCCGATTTCCCCCCAATTTCCGCGGCTCCCCTCTCCCCCATCTCGCACCAACCTCTCCGTCCGCCACCTACCCCTGCCAAACCCTAGCCGGCGATTGCTGCCCAACTGATGGCGGACGACGACGCCGCCGCGAGCTTGAGCCAGCCCTCGCCCGCGAAGGTGAGATTCGATTGCCCGGTCTGTTCGTTTTGGTGTTTGATTTGTTCGGGGTTTCGAACTCCCCGGCAAGTCTCGTTATCAGATTTTACCTCGCGCGCGACGACTCGGTCCTTAGCAGCCAGCTCAGGGTGAGATTTGTTTTTGCGCGCGGTTGAATCTCGAATCCCCGTCGGAGTGGCGGTTGTTTGTGGGCCTGGGAATCCGGATTTGGTTAATCAGCGCCGCCATTTTTACTAGCTAGTGGTCGTTGTTGCTCTAGTAGACGGCTATCATGACGATGATCATTTTGTTTGGTCAAAATGTTTTGACGCGATGGGCTGCTTGTAGTTGCGTGAATTAGAATGGTGATAATTTTGGTCTCCCTTTAATTCGAGCCTTCTGCTGTGCCGTATTTGTGGTAAATATGTCAATACCTTTCATAAAGGGAGTACCTAGAACTCATCTAGATGAGATATAATTTGGTCTCATTCACTTTGAAAACAAGAACAGATACAACCCACGTCAGCACACATGCATCTTATAGCATCACATCCAATGACTATAAAAGGTGAATGAGACCAAATTATATCTCATCTAGATGAGTTCTAGCAAAACTGTTTCATAAAAGTTAGCTTTATAGTATCGTGCCATGTAAATGCAGATCTGATGGTAAGGATTTTTTTTTCAGGGCGACATCTTGAGAGAAAATGGGGATGAGAAAAGTAAGCAGTGCCAACCATTCTTCTCCATGTGCCAACCGCTTCAGACTGTTGTAAGATAATGAATAATGAATTATGCATATGCCTGATCAAATTTGTACAATATATTTTGCTATCATACACAAAACCCTAATTTGGTCATGTCGGTCCTCCCTTATGCTTAACAGAGCTATTCAAATTCTTGGGATAGCATTTGTGCTCCTGCAGCAACGGAACCTTGTCAAACTGTGAGCTAGAAGCTACTGCCACCTTCATATTTAGTGCAAATGTGTGATATTGAATTTTTGTAGTTCTGATGGTGTGCATTTTCTCTGGCACAGAGCGGCTTGGATTCAGTGGATGATGATTACATGCCAAGTGCATCTTCTTTTCCTGATAGCCAGCAGCCCCATTCTGAGGTATGTTCTCCCCCACAGGCCTTTATTCAAGGGTTTGATTTTCCAGTTAGTCTGTTCGAATTCCTGTGATGGCGATGTTTGCTAAGTGGTGTCTATCAATGTGCTGTTTCAGAGCATTTCTGCTATAGTAGATGAATCAAACAAGTTATGTTCACCTCCTTCACCTATGGATAAGGAATGTGATGTGGAACAACTTCAGCTGGAATCTGAGGAATTATTGGTATGCCATTTGAACCTTGGCAATTTTTGTGTGGCTTTCTCCAGGGAATTTTACAGTGACTTGCCTCATTTTCTGCCATCTATTAGTTGAAACTTGTACAGTTGCATATATTATATTCTATTTGAAAGTCCTATAATTGACATCTGGCATAAATTCAAATTTAATTAAGTTCTGCACACTGGAACTTTCTGTAACTCGGCCACTTACAAGCCTTTTATCTAAAATCAGTTTTCCTGAATTTTGGCAGTTCACAAGATTTAAAGCTTGTGCTGCCAAAACCTATTACCATGTGGCCAGCTCATATGCAATTTAATTACATATGATATCCTGAATTTAGTTGTATGTGGCATTCCTGCATGGAGTCCTTTTGTATGTAACAGTTCTCTAACCCTGTCTTCTGTTTTGGTGATTGCTATTTTAGGATGACTCAGGTGTGCTAGATGGGGAAACAAGGCAGCAGTTAGAACCCCTTACCACACATGAACCCAGTTCTGTTGTAAGTTTTTCACTTTGTACATCTGCATTTCTATCTAAAGTCTTCATGGAGCATGTGATTCTATTATGTGTGCTTAATGATATACATAATAAACTGTGGTTGGGATATGTTTGTCAAATGATTTTTTTTAGGTGTATAACATTCCCTACTTTTTTTGTTGGTACTGCTGCAGGATGAAATCAAAAAATGGGGGGCAGATACTAAGCAGCACTCACCACCCCGTCATAACACTAGGCATTGGAGCTCAGATGTAAGTGGCCTTCTATTATCTCACTGACATTTATCATGCAATATTTCAGATTAGACCTTTCCTTGCATTGTTTGTGACAATTGTACTGACCGCTTGTGCTTAACAGCGTGCTCTTGAACCTTCTGACAATGAAAATAAGCCGCTCTCCTTGTTTTTTTCTCGCTTCAGACAACCCCAGTCAGTGGTATGCAATATATTCTTTGCCAAGTTTTGATACGCCAGTGTCATGTTTTTTTTTATTCGTTCTTAAATTGTTACAAAATATTCTCCATGTGCAGGGAGCTGGTCTTCGGAATATGGGGAACACATGCTTCTTAAATGCAACTCTTCAGTGTATCACTCATACTGTCCCACTTTTTAAGAAGCTCCGCTGCACCGACCACTCTACTCCATGCTCATGTATGGATAGTTTCTGATAATCATTTTAATTGTGTGAAAGTGTTCTGAATCTTTTTTATTTTGCTTTACATGATTTGTTCTATTTGATACCATCCAGATGATGAAGATGGGTTCTGTTCCTTTTGCGCCCTTAAAGAACACATCGAAGAATCAGTTCGAAGGTCTGGAGCTGTTTTAGTGCCAGCAAGGTTCAAGGATAATTTAAGCAGTATCCTTTGCTTTTGAGTTCTATGCCTTATCTATTAATTTCATCTCAAATTAGTGCTGTCAGCATTCATAGTCATTTTCCCTGATTTTGCACCCTGAAATGTGCATGCTTTCTCTTGACTTTATATTAAATTCTTACATCTTGCTACTGTTCAAAGTATTGCCATTTTGGTGACAATGCTATGAATTTTGTTGGATTCCTTGACTAAGACTTGCCAGAATTATCGTCAGATTTTAGACCAGGACAGCAAGAGGATGCACATGAGTTCCTTCGTTGCTTGCTGGATAACTTGCACAAATGCACCCTTGATCCCAAGTCAAAGGGGAAGCCCTCATCTTTTGATGAGGAAAGTATTGTCAAACAGGTGTTTGGTGGTCGGCTTAAAAGCCAGGTATGTACTCTGTCATTGCATATTTACTTCTCTTTACGGTTGTCTTTCACCTAATGCTATTCTTCTTGCATAGTTGACATGCCGTGATTGTGGTCACTGTTCGGAGACATTTGAGCCCTTCCTGGATCTCAGCTTGGAGATTGATCAGGTTGATGACCTTGTTGCTGCTTTGGAATCTTTTACCAAGGTGGAGCAAGTTGGTGATGATGAGAACAAGCTCACCTGTGAAAGTTGTAAAGTTCAAGTTTGTAAGGATAAGCGGCTTGTGCTTGATAAAGCACCTGATGTCATCGCATTTCAACTCAAGCGCTTCACCACCCTCGACAATTCCATTGAAAAGATTGACAAACATGTGGCATACCCATCAGAACTTGATTTGAAGCCATTCCACAATAATCCAGACAAGGAGGTTAGTCTTATGTTATTCTCTGCTGGTAGGCTTACCATGAAGACATGTTTTGATGTTTTGCTTGTATTTTCATATGCTTCAGGAACTAAAGTATGATCTTTATGGTGTTGTTGAGCATTCTGGCTTACCTAACTATGGCCATTATGTGTGCACTATTCGTTCTTCACGAAGCACCTGGCACTTGATGAATGACTCCAATGTAGGTGCCATTAGTTGCTCTTGCTTTTATGAGACACATCTTTTCACCTTGTAATAATCACACTTGTGTTGCAGGTTGATTCTATTACTGAGACATGTGCACTAAACCAGGAAGCATATATACTCTTCTATGTTAGGCAGGGCATGTTTCCATGGTTCTCAAGTTTGCTAGAGGAGGCTAGGAGTGGTGCATCTCCTGTGTCAGTTTTGGATAATATAGATGCAGACTGTTTAACATCCAGTAATAGAAGTCCTGGCGATAAGTTTGAGATTGGTGAAACAAGTGAATGCAAAACATCTCTCCTTGCCGAGGAACCAACTAAGAGATATTCAGTTGATGCTTCCAGCAGCACAAACAAAAAAGAAGAAACCACTCCACTCAGAATCAGTCCACTCAGAGCATCTTTCCAAGATGATGTGGGGAGGAGGCATGCCCCTAGTCCTACAAAAATCACCAATCTGGAGAGACCATCAACTCCACCTCCACGTCCCAAGCGACCGATATCTGTTGATGACATTGAGGTGTTTAAGTTAGAGGAATTTGGTAAGGTTTTATTTTCAACTACAAACATCTGTCTTATGTTATGCAAACAAGTGCTTTGCAGTACAATCCCTGGTGCATCCTCAATTTAGGATCTGGTTGTCATAGTATACATATAACATGAACAAACTGCAGAGAATGTGGTTCTAGTTCCATAACCCTGTCTGTTCATTATGTTACATGCTATTCCAATTTATATTTTAGTTTATTTTGAAAAAGAAGAAGAATTAATGGTTCCTGTACTGTATGTCTCATTTGCAGATGACAAGGACACTCCTCTGATGCCAAAGTCTGAGCATCAACCGAAGGTGAAGAAACCGAAGGCTGCTTCTGCATCTAAATCTGTGAAGGGCCCTTGTGTGGACAAAAATGCAACACGGTTGATGAGGGGCATGCCATCCGCACGAAGAAAAGGCTTGCTGGACTGCATGATCTCACAGCAGAATGTTGTGCAGGAGCCCCGCAGGGGCTCTCGAAGTGACCCTCTTGGCAAAAAGAAGAGGAAGCTGGACACCAACTCGGTGGCAGTTCTCCAGTACTAATTATTTATTCTAGTCAGGTTCGAATGTCTAAAATCCTTTTGCTGTACGTAGTTTCCAATCCATCCCTTTTCTCGGGGACCAACTCAGGATGCAATAGAGCTTAAGAGTTTAGGCTAAGATTTTCCTTTCTGCTTTCTGATATGGAATTCCTTGCCCATATATATAAAATATCTTTTTTGCTTGAGTCACTGGCCATTTTGTTAGGCTTTGTTTGGTTCTAGGGATTCCCAGAGAAGAGAAGCACACCGTTGAAGTTAACCTGGTCCAGGCCCATGTGTCATTTTTTAGCAGCTTGTTTGACAGTCAATCCTGTACTGACAGTGTAATACACCAGTCACATACAGGCTGCACCGATACAAACTTTGTTTCTTTTCCTGGGAAAAATACTTTGGGGGAAACCTAGTGCTAAGAAAAGTACTCTGGAAATGCTTGTCGGAGAAATGGATGTATCTGTATGTATGTACATCCATTTCTCTGACAAGTATTTTCAGATGGAGTGAGTAGCAAAGAACAACTTGGGGCTAAAGAAAAAAGAGTCAATTACACCGGTGGTGCTTAAACTTGGCGCAAACGGTCACTCTGGTGTTAGAACTTGCGGCATACATTGAACTGGTGCAGAAACTTAGTTCAGGCGTGCAAATATGATGCTAACCGCATTTGGATACGAAATCGATGCTGACTTGACGCGCCAGCGTGGCTGGGGCCTGCTGTCAGTGACCGGAAGGCGTAGAGGAGGTTTGTGGCATTTTTTTTCGAAAACACCCTCAAAATGTTTTACTTCTCACAAAAAGCCCATATCAACGTGGCAGCTGTCATTTCATTTTGACTCTATAACACATGGGGCCCGCCTGTCAGTACGCGAAAGTAAAAGCGGATCAGATGCCTCCGCGTCTCGAACTGAAGACGAATTGCTGGATAGCTAGCCGTCCAAAGAACTCCACCATCCACGTTTGCAATCAGAAATACGCATAGCAGTCCTTTAATGTAGTACAAGGAGGACGCATCTGGGACTTATATGAGCTGCAAATAGCGTGGCAAATTTTGCACGCACTAATTTTTTAATACATTTGTAAAATGTAAGTAATAAAAATAATGTGCAAATATTATATGCAAACAATGATTAGTAAATAAAAATATTTAACTATACACCCATGTATTATAAAAATGTTTGGTAAATAAGGACATTTAAATATTTATTAAATAAAATATTTAATGGATACAAAAATATTATACACTTCTAACTTATATTTAAATTATATAAAATGATGAATACAAACATTCATATGGTATAATTTTCACTCATTATTTATATTAAAAAATATTATATAATTTAAATATTAGCCACCAATGAATATTCATATGAAATTTAAAAAAAGTAATTATGAATATTTATTTTTACAAACACTAAACTATTAAAATGTGCGTACAATTATGGAAATGTTTGTATAATTAAAAAATACTTTGGAATTGTAATGTTAAAATACTTGTATTTCATTAATTATCCAAACATTTTTGTAATTCTTAAATATTATTTTGAAGATATGAATATTTTTAACATAATACGTGAGCAACTATGAAATGTAAGTTATTTAGTTTGTATGTATAATATTGCTACCACACGTATAATTAAATATATTTTTATTACTCAGATTATAATTTACATACCTTTTACAAATTTCTAAAAACCAGCAGGTGCAAATGGGTCACATCCGCAGTCATCACAGTCCATTTCAGCACCACTAAATGTAGTTATCCATTCTGTGACACCACTAAAAAAAAGTTATTCATTTTGTTACGTGAATACTAGAAGGACAAGGGAGCTTCATTTTTCGTTAATTTTCACACTTCATTGATAGACGGGGACCCACCTCTCGTAGAGGTGAATAAAATAAAATGCCAATTCAAGTGGTGGTTTTACCCAAAAAAAACAGGCCACAATCCTGCGCTCAGCCTTCGAGGTACTGACAATGGGCCTGATGCCACACTGGCATGCCAAGTCAGCATAGTTTCGTATCCAAATGTGATTTGCACCGTATTTGCACGCCCGAGCTAAGTTTTTGCACCAATTCAAAGTATCCCACAAGTTCTAGCATCAAAATGACCGTTTGCGCCAAGTTCAAGCACCACCGGTGTAATTGACTCAAGAAAAAACTATGAAGTGTAACGCAACTTTTATCACTCGCTTCAATTGAATGGAGCAGGGGCTGTGATGCTTTACAATTTAAATAAACTTTTATCACCCAGCAACATGCATATATATATATATATATATATATATATATATATATATATATATAGGTATATATATATATATTATATCCTAAATGAAAACTTGTTATTACTTTCTACTTCTACAAAGAAATCAACATGAGAGCACTCTCCCTGTATAATGGTGCACACACACTTTAAGAAAAAGAAAATGTAGCACAGCTTTTACATTCGATGTACTTGAGGGAAGCCATGAAAGAGGCAGCTGGATACAGAAGCACATGGTTCTTCTCCAGGGAGCTCATGAGCTCTGGCTAGGCCCCCTGCAGCTGTTGCTGCTGCTGCTGCTGCAAGTTGACGAGCTTGTGGTATGCGCCATTCTTGTTCTCGATCAGGTGCTGGTGATCCCCCTGCTCGATGATCTTGCCGTCCTGGATCACCGAGATGACGTCGGCGTTCTTGATCGTGGACAGCCGGTGCGCCACCATCACGGTGGTCCGGTTCTTCATCACCCTGTCCAGCGCCTGCTGCACCACGCGCTCCGACTCCACGTCCAGCGCGCTCGTCGCCTCGTCCAGGAGCAGGATGGCCGGGTCCTTGACGATGGCACGTGCGATGGCGATGCGCTGCTTCTGCCCGCCGGAGAGCTGCACGCCGCGCTCCCCGACCTTCGTCTGGTACCCCTCCGGCAGCGAGCTGATGAAGGTGTGCGCGTTCGCCAGCTTCGCCGCCTCGATGACCTCGGCCTCTGTCGCGCCGTCCTTGCCGTAGAGGATGTTTTCGTAGATTGTCGTCGCGAACAGCGCCGGCTCTTGCTGCACCAGGCCGATGTGCCTCCTGAGCGACTTCAGCTTAAGCTTCTTGATGTCCTTTCCTGCAAAACCCACCATTGTACTTTGTTCAGCTCCGCTCATCTGGAACAGAAGCTGTCATGTTTGAAATTTGAACAGCAAAATACCATCGATCAAAACTTTTCCGGCGATCGGGTCGTAGAAGCGGAGGATGAGCGAAAGAACGGTGCTCTTGCCGGAGCCGCTCATCCCGACGAGCGCCATGCTCTTGCCGGCTTTCATCAGGAGGTCGAGCCCTTTGAACACGGCCACCGCCGACCTCGACGGGTACCGGAATTCAACGTCCCGCAGTTGGATCACTCCCTCCACCTTCTTGATGTCGTCGCCGGTATCGATCTGTACCTCGGTCTTCCTGTCCAGGATGTCGAACACCGAGGACGCCATCTGGTTCCCCTTGATGATGTCCGGCGCCATCGCCAGCGTCTCGCCCATTGCCAGCGCTGTCACTATGAGCACCATGAAGGACTTCATCACGGACCTGAAGGTGGCCAACTCCTTGCTCATCAGATGCGAACCGTACCTGAAATTTTCAGACATTTCACCAGTTGCTCTGGGAGTACAGCAAATTTAGACTGAGCTGGGCTGTGTTTCAGTAGCAATTCACTTACCATAAAGCCAGCGCATAGGAAGAGAAGAGGAAGAACTGAGAGACTCCATAGAAGACGCCGGCTCCCTGTCCTCGCCGGAAGGACCGCTTTCCGGGCTCCTTGAGCTCATCAGCGTAGAGCTTTATCACCTTCTCCTCCGCGCAGAAGGCGGCCACCGTCCTCATGTTGCTCACCGCCTCGGCGGCGAGCATGTTGGCCTTCAGATACGACTTGCCGAGGTTCCCTCCGTATCCTTTCATGAACATTTTCTGTTGCAGCACATCATAATCAAGATCGTTTCGTTAGGCCAAAGAAGTGTTGGACATGTGGCAGCTGATGAAAAATTAAGAAGCTGCGTTCACCTCACTGATGTGGCCGCTGACCATGAGGGGATAGGTGGCAAGCACGACCAGCGTGATCCTCCAGTTGAGTATGAAGGCAATGATGAGCGACGTGACGATCATGCCGACGTTCTGCAGCAGGATGGTGGAGCGGTCGACGACGATGGTGCGCACCAGCGTGGCGTCGGTCTCGAGCCGCGACGCCAGCATCGCGCTGGTGTGGCTGGTGCTGTCGAACCACCCGATCTCGTTCCGCAGGATGGCCGCGAACATCTTCTCCCGGACGCGCAGCGTGAGCCGCTCGCCCATGATGCCGAAGCTGAGGTGCTCGATCACGTGGAACACCACGGTGAGCACGGCGCCGCCGCAGAAGAGCGTGGCGATCTTGCGCACCTCCCTCTTGGTGGTCTCCCACCCCATGTAGTAGGACACCAGCGCCTGCGTCACGCCCAGGGCGAAGAGCGGCATCTGGGCGCCCGCCACGAACGCGCTGATGGTGCCCGACACGCCGAACACCCAGTCCGGCCGCACCATGGAGTAGAGCTTCTTCATGGACACGGGCTTCCCCTTGCTCTGCCCTTCGTCGTTTGCCTCCGCGGCGCCGTACCGGCTTATCGAGTCCTTGTCGGAGCGGAAGCTGCCACCCCTGCTCGTCCTTGACAGCTCCCTCGAATACTTGAAGCTGAAACCATGTTAAAAATGACTATTAGTTAGCTCACGCTGACCACCTGCACGAAACAATGTCGATGCCATGTACAGACACGTGCCTTAGTGGCCTTGTGATGCTTGTGCTGTGCGAGAAAGAGGGCTTGCGCTGAAGCTGAGCAGCCTCCTGCAGCTGGATCAGCGACGAGTAGGCGCTGAGAGGGTTGGCCATGAGCTGCTCGTGCGTGCCGGTCTCGACGATCCTCCCCCTGTCCACGACGGCGATGGTGTCGGCGTTCCTGATGGTGGACAAGCGGTGCGCGATCACCACGGTGGTGCGGCCGACCATGACGCGGTCCAGCGCCTCC